TGGCAGCCAGCCAGCCACATAGCTCATGGCCACTGTAATTCCCACTGACGTGGGGCTTCTTCATCACCTCTCCCGGGAGGAGGTCTCCCCCTCCCTGCTTTTAACCCCACAGGTTCTGGCTGTTCTCAGCCTGCCAGGCTCCTGCTCCCCAGTGCCCTCTGAACCCTTCTGGGAGGGACAGATTCCCCCCGCCACAGCCCCACATCGCTAGCCCAGCTATCAGAGACAAAGGGCCTCGGCTGCAGCTCTGCCTTCTGTCATGGTGGCAACACTTTCTCCGTGGTTCCTGACAGCATGGGGGCAGCACAGCTCTGCTCGAGGTCCAGCAGGATGGCAGAACATCAGAAGGGTCTGTGAGCTCCAACCTGCACTGGGCCCAGGCCAAGTAAACGAGGGCAAATGGCCCCATGGTAATAGTCCAGGCATGTAGCCTACACCTAAGGTGCAAAGCAATCGGTGTGTTTCATGCACCACCTACTCACAGATTCCTTATGTTCCTAAGCAGCTCAGGCCCTTCATTACCTGGCAATTATCTCAGGATCTGAAAGGCTCCAAGCAGGAGCTTGCACAGCTCACTGAAGTCCTATGTAATCTTTGCATTCCAGTCACATATTGCGTCTTAGACTAGAGGAGAAAACCAAAGAACTTTGCAATAAGGCATCTGATAAAAACTGAAAGCATTTCCTCTGGCCTAGGAAAAGGGCTGAAATCAAACGTGGACAATAAAAAAGCTTCTTACCTTTCACAGTAGATACTAAGGTCACAAAGCTTTGCTTGTCCCAGAGTCAAACATCACTGGATGTCAGATACCATATCTGGTGTCCACATCCATCCAGCTCATTGGGGGGGGGGGGCAGGTTCAGGAGGTTGCTTTTGACCTTCTTATGTGCTAAACAAAATCCAAACCGCATATTTGTCTTCCTTTTTCACTGGTTGCACCCTGAACAGAACTGGAGACTTAAACAAGGTCAAGTCCCAGTCAGGAAGCAGTTAAGGGAGCAGAGAGGCCAGTGAAGAGAGCCCAGTGATGGTAGCAGATGTTTCCATTTGGGTGGTGCTTTGTTTCATTACGTCTTGTTTCTGCTTTTTTTTAAAGGTTTGTTTTATATTTGATAATCTGAAATAAATGAAATTAATCTGATAATCTAAAGAACATCAATACAAATGCAAAAATAGATCAATAACAAGAAAAACAGAGAGAGAGAAATTATAAAAAAGACAGGTAGTGCACCCCTCCAGCAGGACCTTGGTTACATAATAATTGATTATTCAATTCCTTCTTCTTTATAAATTCCTTCGTCTATAACCAGGCTTCAGGCTGGATGTCAGAAAGTACTTCCTGATGGTTAGGACCCTTCCCGAAGGGTGGTGGTGGAGGCCCCATCAGTGAGGGTGTTCAAGGAAAGATTGGACAACCACATGTTGGAGATTGTATGAGCAGAGCTGGCTGGAGCCCCAGGTCAGACTCAATGGCCTGGGAGGCCCTTTCTACCTGCGTTGCTTCTGTGTTTCTAAATGCTGAGGTATGTTGTAGTAGCACAACATTCTTAGCTCTTATACAGCATTAGCAGTTCTTTATTAAGGTAGTGTTTAGGCGTTTCTATTTCAGGACCAGTTCCTATTCCATCCAGAATTGTGTAGAATCATTCAGAGGTTTGATATCCTTCCCCTTTATTAATACTATTCAATAAACAACCCCCAAATATCACTGAATTCATTCTTATTCATCAGCCCTTTTTTCAGCTTAATGCCACTTATTAAAAATCATAATTAACAGCTATATTCCAGACTTGTTATACCACTCACTCATTTGGAAATCCCATTTCTCCTTCCAATTCGTTGTTGTTATTAAACTTGTAACTAAATTTCTTATTAATTAATATTCAGTTTCCATTTCTTTTCATAAAATATTGACAATAATGCAATTTCAGGATTTACTTCAATATTTGAATTTAATATCTTGCTAATTTCCTTAAAATCATTATCCAAAAATGTCCTAATATTTTTGCATTCCCATCATAGAGGGATATAGGTACCCACTTTTTGACCACAGCTCCAACGTAAATTGAAGTATTTATTATCCATACAAGATAGTTTTACTGGTGTCAGGTACCATTTCCATACTAATTTATAACAATTTCCCTTAATTCTAATGAACATGCTTTTCATTGTTCTCTTATCCCATATTTTTCCCATTCATCCTTACCTATACCCCTCCCTAAATCTATTTCCCATGACATCTTAAGAGGATCATATTGGTCCTTCATATCTAGTAGGATCTTATAAATCTCACTTATCCCTCTTCTTCACCTAATGTTTTCCCTATATAAAACAATATCTTCAAATCTAATGAGATTTCTACATTTACCATTTCTCTTCAGCCTTTCTTTAGTCCATTGTTCTAATTGCATAATGTTAAACAAAGTTAGTTTTTCTTTTCCTAGTACCCCCTTTCTTGTTATCCATTTTCTCCAGCCAATCTTTTAACCTAAAAATATTGTTTTTCCTTTAATACTTTTCTCAATTTATTTCTCAAATTTTCAGGAAATCCTTCAATTTCTTTAACTGGAATTATTGGTGAAATTGTCAGCATAACTTTATACTTACTCCATAAGGTAAAGGTAAAGGTTTCCCCTTGACATTAAGTCCAGTCATGCCTGACTCTAGGGAGCAGTGCTTATCTCAGTTTCCTAGCCAATAGAGCCAGCGTTTGTCCACAGACAGTCTCCGTGGTCGTGTGGCCGGCATGACTAAACACCGAAGTGCACGGAGCGCTGTTACCTGCCCACTGAAGTGGTACCTTTTAATCTACTTGCATTTGCAGGCTTTCGAACTGCAAGGTTGGCAGGAGCTGGGACGGAGCAACGGGAACTCACCTCGTTGTGCAGATTCAAACCAGCAACCTTTTGATCAACCAGCCCAGCAGCACAGCGGTTTAAACCACTGCGCCACCTGCAGTCCCTACTTATTCCATATTTGTACCATATTTTTAAGAAAGAGTTTTTCTATCCTTCTTACAAACTTGTCATTCTGTTTAAAAAAGAGCTTAAGAAGGGATCCCTCAGTTCGTTGCTCTGTGTCTACCCATATAATCTTTTCAGGCTATAATATTTGGTATATATCTTATTTCACTTGCTACATAATATAATTTCATGTTCTTGTCTTTGCTAAGCAACATTTGGCTGGTGGCACTTAGTGGTGAGTGCCCCTGCTTTTCTGCATGACCCTTCAACAGTGTTCTTTCCTGGGAGAATGATTTTTCCTGACTGACTCTGGGGAGCAGCCAACTTTGGCCCAGGACACTTCTGGCTGCTCTTATGAAGGTGCAATTGCAACTCAGTGTGAGGCAGAGATAGCACAAGCAGGTTCCATAAATGGCAGGCTGCAAATGTGGTTTTTACATATATTTTGGGTGGAGGAAGGATAAGGAAATGACGTGACAATGGAAACTGGCATGTGGGTAGGGATTACACAAGGCTCAAATTACTCTACAGAATGAGTGGAAGAAAATTTCTGGTTTTGCCCGGATAAAAGGGCTAATGACTAGGTCAGCCACTGCATTCCTAGCCTTCACATTCACTATTTTTCCAAGGACATGGTCTGCCTGATGAGCATTCATTTCTAAAGCAGGCTGTGACTACAGGAAAGGGGTTGTTACCTTCTGCAGGGTTTCCTCAGCCTTTGCAAGCTCAGAATCCCTGAGCAAGGAATTTGATGTTCTTTGAAGCCTTTGATGTTCTGCCAAGGTGTTCGGAGGGCACTCCTGCTTCTCCTTGGCAATAAAGAGGCATCACCCAATATCTCCATGGAGGAGGAGGAGAAAGCACACATTGCTTCAACTCCCTGGAGAGCATCTCCCTCCTCTTCTGGGGAACCATCAAATGCAGCCCAGGCCAATTAGCTCCTGATGCAAGCAAGAGGCTCTTTGCACAAGCCAATGAGAAGCCTTGACATTGACAGGGTACCAGAAACTTCAGCGGTCTTCAAGAGCAAGCACCTCCCTTCATCCCCACCACTGCAAGGAAGGCAGGTCTGGGGGAAGAAGTGCAGGCTTTGTGACGAAGGATGATCCTGGCAAGGAAGGTGGAGTCCAGCAGGCTGGGAAGTAAAGGAGTATTCTGGGATGTCTGAGGATATGCTTGGAGGGAAGTGAAGATGCATTTGGGAGGAAATCAAGTTGGACTGGCAGTGTGGAAAAAGAGCTGCTGGCCTAGTTAAGTACAGGAAGGCAACATTTTAGCCATAACGTCTTCTGAAGGCCGATGCATCGGTGAGACTGCCCAACCTGGTGGAGAGGCCAGTCTCCTCAAGAGGTAGCAAGAACTGTACAATGTGGCAGAGAAACACGGTTCTGGACCACCGAGGGCTGAACACTGCAGGATCCAGAGTGAGAAGTGAGCTCAGCGCAAATCCACTTCCCCTTTCCTCCAGCTCTTCTCCCTTTGGAGTCTTCCATTCCAAGGTCCGCTGGCGCTCCTCCTACCTCTCCTTCCCAGGCCTTTCTACCTGCTCCAGTCTTGCCCAATGAGTGCCATGTGGCCCCTGGGAATTGCTGAGCCAGGACAGCTGCACCCCTCCACTCTCAGCACTCACATGCACACTGGGACAGCTCAGTGGGCTGGCAGAAGAGGCAGGCGCTGGAGCCCACCCCATCCTCACAAGTAACCCCTCTCAGGCAGCTAGCCTGGCAAGTCACCCACTCACTGGCAAGGCAATACAGCCCCTCCTCTCTTCCGGGGAGTTTCACCACCTGCCCACACAGGCAAAGGGAAGGATGCAGCCCGGATAGCCCTCTCCATCTTGATAAACACACGGCCAGATTCTGTGGAACTGCTTATTGGCTTCTGCAGGGAGACAAGAGACACACCCCAAGATGAATCCAGTGCCAGCCCTAGTTTGCAATTAGCCATGACAAGAAGAGCATGTGCTTGGCAACTGTACTAAAGCAAGAAAGGATCCCGCACCAATAAAGACAGCCAATAAATGCAAGAGCTAATATGTTATCATAAATAAGGACATTATAACTTTATTACATTCAGAACATGGCAATATCCAAAATACAAAGTGAACATCTTAATTTTTCCTCAATACTGTACACCTGATGCATGACTCTCAGTGCATTGTTTCTAGACATGTAGACTGCCTTCATTTAGTTTGTGTTAGAACCAGGTCACCTTCCTAGAAGTTTCAGGAAAAAAACTCTCATTCAGCAGATATTTGTAACTGTAAACAGTTGTATTTATGACCAAGGGAAGACCAAAGCCCAGGCAGGCCTTCATCAGAGACTGCCTTTGCTTTGGGCCTACAATCACTAAGGAACTGATGGTGGGGGGGGGGGGGGAGAAGCAGGAGCAACAAGCACAGCACCTTCTGCTGTACCCCAAAGGGGTCAAGGTGAGGCTATCGCAGCAGAGTTTCGAAAGGTGGACGAGAGGGCCTGGCAAGGAAGCAAGGAATCGGAACGGGCCACTTGGCTGCCTCCCCTCCCCACAGAACTCTGAACTAGAAGTGGGCACAAGACCAGCTCGTGCCACATTGCAATGTCTAAGCACTTCTGCAGGGAGGACAGGGTTTTTTTCTAATTTTTAAAATGTTTATTGCCTCTGATATGAAATTGCCCCTTCCCCATGTAGCAACAGAAACTCATAGCTGCTACCCAACTGCAAAGACACGGTGTGGATTCTGAAAGATCAATGTGACACCTTTTGCAGGTTCACAAAGAGGATGGCAGACAACTGCAGGCCAAGAGAGACTGCCATTTGTTGGTCCCAGCCAGAGGAAAACCAGTGGAATTTTGCTAAGCATTTTTGACTCTGTTAGTGGGGGCAGGGGGGAGTCAAGCATGGTAGGCAAATCAGCTCTCATCTCTCCCCTGCCAAACTGTGAACACTTGACTTATTGGATGTATTTGCAAAGTTTCAGAATGTGGGCACGCTTGTTATATCTCTTACCCGCACCCCCATGAGAGCAGTTCCTGGTTTTGAAGGAAAGCCCATTCTCTTTGCAGAGAAGAGAAACATTGGCAGGAAAAGAATTTAAATTGTCACCTGCCACCATCTAGAAAGTGATCCAGTGAGATCAACCACAGTAGGAGAAGTGGGTTTTCACCTCTGCTAACTGCTTCAGCCACTTGATTAATTCACAAGACTGCCACTTTTCCTACTTAGGTAAGCTTAGAAATTAGTTTCTCCATAATGTGGAATAACTGGCCAACTGTAGTTACATATACGCCAGTCTGTCTCCAAGACATGTTTAGCCTTGAGAAGACTGAGGGAAGATATGAGAGCACTTTTCAAAGCCCAAGATCTCTTCACAGGCACCTCAGGGTGCAGGGCACAGAATAACAGGCTTAAGTTACAGGAAGCCAGATTCCAGCTGAACATCAGGAAGAGCTTCCTCACTGTTGGCACAATATAGAAATGGAACCACTGACTCAGGGAGGTCACCGGCTGTCCCACCCTGGAGGCAATCAAGAGGCAGTCAAGAGGACAGCCATCTACCAGGGATGCTTTAACTGGAGTCCTGCATTGAGCAAGGGGACGACTCGATGGCCTTATAGACCCTTCCAACTCTCCTATTCTATGATTCTATAATTCTAAGTCTTCTTCTTGTATCATTGAGAACAAGAAGAAAGCAGCAGGCTGGACAGGTGAGGTGGCCATTGCCACATTCGCTCCCTTCTCAAGTTCAGAAGCAGCTCTGCTGCATATTGTCCTTGGAGAATGGCTCATTGCCAGATCACTCAAAGCTTCCCCCTACTTAACTGGCCCACTTCCCATACCTATGGAGAAACCATGCAAGGGAAATGTTTGGGCTTCATGGGGCCAGCCATTCTGGTCTTGGCTATCACACCATCTTTCTTGTCCCACAGTTGCTGCCTCTCTTCCACACTGAGGCCAGTCTCGTCTACTTCCTGGAAGAACTTCTCATACCTGTCTAGGTAGGGAGGCCTTTCCGGCAGAAGGTAGTAGTGTGTGGAGCTGACTTTCTTGCCATTTTCAATAATGGGAAGGATGCACGGGGCCTTGTTAGCTGAACCTTCACTATGCTGCCTCTGGAGGGCTTTGCTGCTGACGTACTTGGGATCAGGGGCAAAACTCTGGGTGGGAGGCATCACCCCATTGAGGTATGAGGGCAAGCTTTTGGGGCTCGGTGTCCGAGAATGGCTCTGGGATAAAGGCTCCCTTGGAGGCACTTTGGGGGGCTTGTCCTCATCACTGTAGGCATTAGAAGCTACTTCAGCAGACCACCTCCGATGGTCTGGTTTGAGCACTCGGGGAGGGATGGGGACCCTGGGTGGGACCTCAGGTTTGTCATCAGAGCTCGGGGGGACCCCATGGAAGTGGCCGGAGATCCTCCCTGTGGGTTTGTGGAAAGAACCAGCAGGCCCTGAGTGTGAGCGTCGCAAGCGGCGGTGAAGCTGCTGTGGAGGCGGTGGCGGCGGTGGGCAAACACCAGCAGCGCTCCCACTCTGCTTTGCCGAGGTGCAACAGGGCTCTTCAGATGTCTGCCCTGCTGGAGCATTGACGTAGGCGTAGTTGACCTGCCCGCAGCCCCTGAAGCTTCGCCTGCCCTGGGCAGTGGTCCTGAAGGTTGGGCCACTGCAGTTCTCTAACAAAAAGTCTGTGTCTGAACTGGTCAAGAACTCAACTTCCCTGTCCACCTCATCAACCAGAAAGTTCTCAGTAATGGGCAATGGGGGCAGTGGTCGGGCACTTCGCTCACTTGAGGACACAGGAGGGAAAAGATGCAGTGGTGGCCCATTTTTCACAGAGGTGTGAGGTAGTGCCCCATCAGGAGTACCATCCCGGTTCACAGAGAGCCTGCTGAAGTCAGAAAAGATGTGATACTCTGGGTCTGAAGCAGGCCTCTCAGTTGAGTGGCTCAGCAGAGGAGGGCTGGCTGTATGAGGTGAAATACAGCTGCTGTCTTCTGCCTGGCTGTGGCACTGGACTGGGCCAGGGTGGGAATCATGGTCTAGAAAGAGAGCATATGCCAAGTAAAGACACATGTTGCAGATCTCGGGCAACAGAGTATTTCCCACCCACTCCAGCTCCCTGCTTCTTAATTGAATAGAAGGAAGCATGCCCAGGTGGCACATTTAGCAAACAAGCATATATGGGGGACTGCTGAAACAGAGCAAATGGCACCCACACGGCCAGCCATAAAGGAAGCTGTCCTCTCCTGTGGTTGCCCCTGTCCATGCCCAGCAGCTTACATGCCATCTCATAATCCTTCTAAACATGGAGGTCTCAGCCAGCTCATGTGGCTAATAGCCAGTGGTAGCTTCTCCCTGCCACCAAAGGGGATAATGGTTTCTCTTAATTAGACATTTGGAACTCTTTGCCATAATCTTCACATGCACTGCCTTACTCAGGAAATGGGAAGAAAATCAAAGCCTTCTTAAAGTTCCTCAGTTATTTTCTCCATATCAAGAGCAACCTTTGGTCAGTGAGGGGTCCCGTATAGGGATGTCACTTTTATAGCCTAGGTATTTGTTCTGATGAAGTTTCCAGGCCTGAATTGATTTACTGTGAGTTTCCAGGCATATCCTGGCGACAGTGACACACGCGTTGGTGACTTCCCGACTTGACTTCTTAATGCGCTCTACGTGGGGCTGCCCTTGAAGATGGTCCGGATACTTCAATTGGTTCAAAATAGAGCTGCCAGGCTGCTGACGGGGACTGGGCATTATGTTCACATGACACCAGTTCTCCGTCAGCTTCACTGGCTCCCCATTGAAGTCCAGGCCCAATTCAAGGTTGGTGATGACCTATAAAGCCCTAAATGGCTTGGGTCCTGGTTACCTGAAGGAACGCTTACGTCCATGTATGTCCGCCCGCCCCTTGAGATCAGCGGGAGAGGCCCTTCTCCGGGAACCCTCCGTGAAGGAAATTAGGAGGGTAAGTACTCAGAGGAGGGCTTACTCTGTGGTGGCACCCAATCTATGGAATGCGCTCCCCAGAGAGGTCCGCCCGGCACCGTCATTGTTTTTCAAACGTTATTTTAATTGTTAATATTATTTATTTATTTGTGGCCAGGTCGACTCAAATTATGTTGTTTTTATACTGCATTTATTTATTTATTATTGTGAGCTGCCCCGAGGCTTCGGCAAATGGGGCGGCATAGAAGCCTCCTGAATGAATGAATGAATGAATGAATGAATGAATGAAGTCATTGAGCCTTTCAATACCAGAAAATAAGTAAAATGGGCACAGGTGACTTTCCTGAGTACCTACCCATGGACGTTAAGTGATGCTGCGCAGATGAATTCAGACTGTAGGCCACTGCGACAGGATCCATGCTGAAGAAAGAACTGTGAGACAGGGAGAGAGAAAAGGACAGGGAAGCAGCAGCGCATGACTCACAAAGCTTCTGGGAAGGCCCAAGGGGGCCCCAGTACCCACCTGTGGCTGCACTCACTTTTCAAAGCCACTGTTGCGGCTGCTCCAGCAGGCTTTCAGGCTGCTGAGGCCCAGCCGGTTGTTCATAAAGTTCGTTTTCAAGGGCAGCCTCATTTCTGGAGCAGCAATGCTTGCTGTAGACATGATGCTCAGGCTAAGCAAGATTCTCTCTAGTCATGCAAGATGCCAGTAGCGCTTGCCAGAAGTCCACAGGCTCCCCTTAAAGGAAAAAAAAAGAGGGGGTCAGTCCCACACAGTAAAGTCTAAGGCAAACGTAAAGGCTTGAACACACCCTTCCGCAATGTTCATGATAGGGAGAACCTGCGAAAGACCGTCCTGTTGTGAAGAACATAAGAGACGGTGCATCAGACACAGCACACCTCCAGTCCAGCTTTCTGTTCACACAGTGGCCAGCCAGCAGTCCACAGGGTCCCACAAGCAGGACACGAGTGCAACAATACCCTGCTGCCCACGTCCTCAGAGACTTGTAGACAGAGAGAGACTGCCTTGGATACTGGAGACAGTTTATAGCCATTAGGGCTAGTAACCACTGAAGCCTTATTCAGCATGCATTCCTCTGAACACTTTTTAAAACAGTCCAAATTGGTGACTGCCACTACACCTTGAGGAAGTGAGCTCCATACTTTACATGATGTTTGTATAGTGAAGTTTCTTGAAAATAGGGAATTTTCAGGCCTGTCCCTGAAAACTCATTGGCAGGCCTGATTAGGCTGAGGGGGATGAACGGGAGCTGGGATGATCCTGGCCATGCAAAGACGGCCTCTGCGGCAAAGCAGCTTCTGAAACAGCTTCATAGCTTAACTCTTCCCAGGAAGTTACCATGTGGCACTTGGGTAGATGCTGCTGGACTACAACTGCCATCTTCCCTGATCACTGCTGGTTGAGGATGATGGGAGTCAGAGTCCAATCCCGCCATGTGCCTAGATCTCTGAGCAAATTCTCCAGGAATTCCTCAGTTCTTTGAGAGAGTGCCCCAAGTACCACCACGTACACCCCATCCCAGGAACACAGGAGAGCGCCTGCTGGGGGTTGCTGAACTATTTTGAACTACACAGTAGTTCAGGCTGGGTGCATTGTGAGCAGCTTGTGATCACCTGGCCTGTGGCTGCATGGAATTCACGCACCGCTCACGTGGGCTCAGCTTCAACCCTCAGGACATGGATGGCTTCATACTGGCCCCACAGCTGCAGCACAGCTCACTGCCTAGGGCCAAGCAGAGTTGTGTATACACAATTAATGGCTCAACAGGGGCTCAAAATCAGAATACAAAGAATGTATTCTGTTTTTGTTAGCAGATTAAACACAAATACTTTAAACTGAGTGGGGGGATTCAGGCCCCCCAGAAACATGTCTGAACTGGACAAGTGTGGGGAGAGGATCAGGGCTCTGGGAGCAGGGTTTTAGAGGTACTGCAGGGACTGACAGGACTCCTTCAGAGAGGGGCCAGGTATCAGGGAGGATGGGAGGAAGGAGCAGGCTGGGAACTCCAAGGAAAGGAAGCGGTGGGAAGGAGTTGAGCTGCATGTACACCAATGCTAGGAGCATGGGTAATAAACAGGAAGAGCTTGAAGCTCTCCTGGGAATAGGAGGGTATGACCTGGTGGGAATCACAGAAACCTGGTGGGATGAAAGGCAAGTCTGGAATGTGAACATAGAAGGGTATCACCTTTTTAGAAAGGAGAGGAAGGGAAAGAGAGGTGGGGGCATGGCTTTATATGTCAGGGAAGGGACAGGATGCAGTGAGATAGAATGCAGCACAGATGGGGATTCGGCAGAGGCAGTCTGGGTGAAACTTAGGGGTTTTGACAGGGAAAGAGACCTGACAGTGGGGGAATGTTATCGCCCTCCAGGTCAACTTGAGCCCCTGGATGATGGCCTGACAGACCAGATTATAAGGATATCTCGGGAGAGACACAGTAATTATGGGAGATTTCAATCTCCCGGATATTAGTTGGGAGACTCACTCAGAGGTAACAGCCAGGTCACGTCGCTTCCTAGAAGCTATAGAGGGAGGGTTTTTCACACAGAGGGTCCGAGAGGTGACGAGGGGGGGAAACATCCTTGACTTGGTCTTGACCAATAGGGAGGAGCTGATAGATGAAGTACAGATTAGGGGAGCTCTGGATGCGAGTGATCACTCCATCCTTTGCTTTGAGTTCTGGGGACTTGCAGCAGGTCAAGCACTAGAAGCTGAGAATTCAAGAGGGCCAACTTTGGCCAACTGAAGGCCAGACTGGGGAAAGTCTCCTGGGACAGGTTACTGGAAGGTAAGTGAGTTGAGGAGGGGTGGATGGCACTCAAAAGGGAGGTTTTGAAGGCGCAAGCCTTGACGATACCTCTAGTTATTAAGGTGGGAAGGTGCCTTCATGGATGCGAAAGGAGGTGGTTACAGGGATTAGACGCAAGAGGAACCTCCGTAGGAAATGGGTACGGGGGCAAATAGACAAAAGGGTATACCAGGAGGAGGAGGCCCGTTGCAGAAGGATTCTTCGCAAGGCTAAGGCTGATTACAAGCTGAGACTTGCCAAGAATATCAAGAGCAACAAAAAGGGCTTCTTTCAGCATGTAAATAGGGAGAGGAAGGGGAGACAAGTGGTGGGACCGCTGAATAAGGAGGAAGGAGATCCAGTGACTGATATGAGGGAACAGGCACAGAAGCTAAATGACTATTTTGCCTCTGTGTTCTCCCCAAAGCAGGATGGGGGAGATCTGCATAGGAGATTAGATGAGGCTGGGGGCTTACGGGGAACAGATTAGAGCCACCCCCCCCTTGAAGTCGAGGAGCTCCTCAGGGCATTGGACAGTACAAAGGTGCCAGGCCCTGACGGGTTACACCCGAGAGTACTTGGAGAGTTGGCAGTCGTTTTTCACGCCTGCTGGCCTCCATTTTTGAGGCCTCATGGAAAATGGGTGAAGTTCCAGAGGACTGGAGGGTGGTGTCAGTGGTCCCAATTTTCAAAAAGGGTAGTAGAAAGGACATGGGGTTTTACAGACCTGTTAGCCTTACCTCCATTGCAGGAAAAACAGTGGAAAGGCTCATAACAGAGAGAGATCTAGTAATGCTAGATAGGGAAAGGAGGCTGAAAGCCACACAATACGACTTCCGCAAAAACAGGTCCTGCCAGACAAACCTTGTGGAATTCTATGACAAGGTTTCGAAATGGCTGGATGGAGGGGATGCAGTGAATGTGGTTTACCTGCATTTCAGCAAGGCCTTTGACAAAGTGCCCCATGATATCCTGGTGGAGAAACTACGGAGTTTTGGGATACACCAAAGCACTGTCTGGTGGATTAGGGCACAGTTGACTGACTGAAAGCAGAGGATAACCATTAGTGGGGAATCATCAGGATGGCGGCCAGTGACAAGCGGGGTCCTCCCAGGGCTCTGTCCTGGGGCCGATCCTGTTTAATCTTTTCATCAATGTCATGGAAGAAGGGGTGAACAGTCTGCTGATCAAATTCGCAGATGATACTAAAACTGGAGCAGTGGCCACAACTGAGGAGCAGGTACTCCAGATCCAGAAGGATCTGGACAGACTACGGATGTGAGCAGGAGACAACAGGATGGAATTCAAGGTCTTGCACTTGGGGCATAGGAATGGGTGTCATGAGTACAGGTTAGGGGACAAGCGGCTGGAGAGCAGCACTTGTGAAAGGGACCTTGGTGTGCTGGTCGACTGCAGGCTGAACATGAGCCAGCAGTGTGATGCGGTGGTCAAGGGGGCGAACGCCACCCTTGGTTGCATAGCCAGAAGTGTGGCTTCTTGATCAAGAGAGGTATTACTACCACTCTACACGACCCTGGTGCACCCGCAACTGGAATATTGTGCTCAGTTTTGGGCCCCTCATTACAGAAAGGATATAGCCAGGTTGGAGTCAGTGCAGCGTAGGGCCACAAGGTTGGTGGCTGGTTTGCAGGGGATGGGGTCTGAGGTGAGACTGAGGGAACTGGGTCTCTTCAGCCTGGAGAAGAGGAGACTCAGAGGGGATATGTTGGCGACATGCAGGTATGTGAGGGGACGTCACAAGGAGATGGGTAGACACCTGTTCTCCCCTGCAGAGGAAGGCAGAACGCGCTCCAAAGGAGCAAAGCTCAGGGAGCCAAGGTTCCATTTAGATGCCAGGAAGCACTTCCTGACAGTTAGGACCCCGAGGGTGTGGAATGGGCTTCCACGAGAGGTGGTTGAGGCCCCATCAGTGTGGGTGTTCAAGGATAGGCTGGACATGTACATGGTGGGCATGTCGTGAGCGGAGCTGGCTGGAGCCAGGGGTCAGACTAGATGGTCCAGGAGACCCCTTCTGACTCACTCTGTTTCCATGTTTCTAAATACATGGAGAACTTATTTCACCAAAAAGGTTGTTATTTTTGTAGCAAGGTGTATGTGTGTGGGGGAAAGGGCACCTGGAGTTTGATTTTTGGTTTTATGAACACAAGCTGATATAAATAGATCTTTCCTGGAAGACACTTATGGCTGATAACCAAAGAGCAGAAGCGAGATAAGGGCTGCAAACCCTGCTGCATAGAGCTCACTGCCCTGCTAGGAAAGAGGAAAGAGCTCCAGCAAGATAAGTTTCCCACTGACAGGAAACAGCCAGTCAATGGCTATTTATTTGAAACTTTTATATACTGACCACTACCAAGGTCATGGGACAGTCTTACAATAAAACAGAATGGAGCACAGCATCCAAATTGATTTTCCATACAATAAAACCCCACATTAAAATCAGACTCAGACCTTAAAATAATGGGAAAATAAAAAGGTGTTAGTCTGGCACCGAAAAGAATAAATTGACAGTACCAGGCAAACCCCTCTGGGGAGTGAATTCCACAATTGGGGTGCCACCGCAGAGAAGGCCCTTCTCTGAGTAACCACCCTCCTAATCGCCCTTGGGGAGAGCTCCCAGATTTTTTCTATAATTGACTGGAGAAACAGGACCTGGCGTAAATTTAGGGATGTTTTCAAGTTATTATAAACTGATTTGAATATGTTTATAGAATGTTAAAAAATATGCAGTAGGGGGTTGACCCAGTAAATCCGATGTATGTGAGAATTGATGTTTTTAGTAATAGTTTAAAACTTGAATTTAAAAATTCTAAAAAAAAAAAAAAGGAAAATAAATGGAAAGGCTCATAATAGCAAGAGATCTAGCGATGCTAGATAGGGAAGGGAGGCTGGTGGCCATAAAACACAGTTTCC